GCCCCGCCCCGCCCCGCCCCGCCCTGGCGGCCTCATCCTCCCGCATGCTCGCATCTGCAGTCTGTGGGCTGCGCTATCCCGTGGCTTCTGGGGCCCTCCTCCGGCTGCGAGGCGTTTTGCACTGACGAATCTCACCCTCCTGGTAACGGCGCAGCAGAAATCGCAGTACGCATCCCTCTCCCCTGCCCTCCTGCTCTGGATCGGACGGCTTGTCATTGCGCCGCCCTTTGCATGCAGGGCTCCATGGTCGGCATGCCGTCGTTTCCGATGGGCCGTGTGCCCGAGTACTACGGTCAGGACGCGGCAGAGTTCGTGCCTGAGCGGTGGCTCAAGGGGGCCGGCGGCCATGAGGGCAAGCAGGCGGCCGAGGGCGGGGGCCCAGCGGATGTTTTCGCATTTGGTGAGCCGCGCAGGATGACTGGCTGGGAAGATTGGGCCCGCACGGCCGGTGGCTGAGTGGGGGGCGAAGCGGCATCGGCAAGCGCTGGGTGCCTGCAATGTGGCGGTTGACAGCAAGGGCTTCCAAACCCCAACCCACTCTGAGATGAACGTGGCGACCCGGTCCCCCCTTGGATGCCCCAACAGGCATCGGCCCGCGCGACTGCATCGGCCGCGCCCTGGCGATGCTGGAGCTCCAGGTCGTGCTGGCCACGCTGGTGGGGCGCTTCTCTTTCGCGCTGCCGCCAGGCGTGAAGGGTGAGGGCGTGGCGGCCCTGGAGGCGATGGTGTGCTACCACATCACACTGCACCCTAGGGACGGCCTGAAGCTGTGCGCGACGCCGAGGGCCCCACTGACGGCTTGAGCGCCACATAATCGCAATGTGTGTTGTGTGTCGTCGCTGAGGCAAGCTGGCCGTTACTGGCAATCGCCCCTCTTCTCCCAGGCACCTGCATGTGCTTGGTAGGTACATTTCATGTGTGCTTCTGAGCGGATGCAAGAGTGCTTTCAGTCGTGTCAGCTTTTAATGTTGGTGCCAAGTTGACCACAGGAAACGAGAAGCTTCGCTGCCAGGTTGGGCGGGCTCTCAGAGCCCACAATTGCCGTGGCAAGACAACAAGACGACGATGGCCCGCTAAGGGCAGTATGTGTGGGCGATTTGACCTGAGATCATGCGAGGATCACTTCTGACGGCTTTCAGCAGCGCAGAGCATTGCCCATCCTGTTCTATGTTCTTTCATGTTTCTCACAGCTGGAATGCATGCTCTGATGGGTCGGTGGCAGCTGATGCGTGTGGGTTGGGATGGGCCGGTGCTTGGGGGGGGGGTCCATGCCCAATTATGGTGTGCGACGGACGTGCCTGGCAGGCATTCCACATTTGCTCTTGCTGTTGATTCTTGGTTGACTCGCACCCTACGCAAGGCGCTTGGCCACAAGCCCAGTGCCCAAATGGAAGTGTGGTCTTTGAGTGTGTAAGCAGCGGTCCGGGGCCGCCAATGCTGTTCTGTATTGGTGCGTTCGCGGGTTGTGGTGCGCGACGCGCCTAGCAGGCGATGGTGGGCGAGGCCGCGGCGGCAGCGGCGGGCGTGGCGACAGCGGCAAATTTGCCTCTAACGGCATCATGCCTCAGGACGATGAGCCCATGCTGTCGATCTTGCTCATCTGCATGGCACAGGTGGAAATAGGTTCATTTGGGGGCGCATACTACAATCATGTTAACCGCGGGGGCAGCCCCTATCAAAAACCTTAGCTGTTGGTGGGGGTCAGAGGGCAGCCCCCTGCTGGTGGTTGCCACCACCTGTTCCTCATTGCCGCTTCCTGTGTATTTAATCCAACCCCATGATGATTGTCACATGCGTGGCGGGGCTGTACAGCAGCCACCCACCCACATCAGCCCCGCTGTCAGAGTGCCGCGAGTCACAGCTGGAGCACTGATTCTCATCGTGAAGTGTGCGGCGTACCGTATACGTAGGGCAGCAGTATCACGCAGGCGGTCCGAGCAAAGGCATTCAGATGCACGAGGATGAGGGAAGCTGGGCGATTGCCCATAGCTGCAGGGGGTTACAAGCGCCCTGTGTTTAAGTGTCCTGTGGTTCCGAATAGTCCAGCATGCGGCATGTGCCGAGAGCAGCACCGTGCCAGAGTTACAAACAGGGGAATGCCAGCATCATCTGGAAGCCGATGCAGACCTGACAGGAAGGGACCCCCACGCTGCTGTCGGGCGTGTGAGCCAGGAGTCCCCTCAAAACCAAGAGGAACCCATCGTGCTGTAGATGACAAACTTGAGATGTCTCATGTCTTCAACAACTGCAGAGTCCATACATACACCCGTCCACAACACGTTTTTGCGTGACAGCACATCCACTACTTCGCACTCAACACAATCACGCTTGCACTGGTGCAGCACCACCAGCACTGCCGCTCCTGCTGTTGGTTGCACCACTGCCTGTGCCACCGCTGCTGCTGCTGCCGCGCGGGCTGGGCTGCACCTTCAACTCCATCACCCACTGCTGCACGGGCTCAAGGGTTGAGGAGAGACTGGCCAACACCTCACCCTTCGCTGTTTGCCATGGCTGCCAGGAAAAAGTGTCGTACACCCCAGGCGGCACCACAAACACCAGCCGCGCTGACTTGCTGCGCTCTGGCCCTAAGCGCCCCAGCAGCTTCACCAGCGGGCGTGCCTTGATGCCATGCGCACGGCTGACCGTGTACTGAAGGATCAGAGGTGCATCACAGCCACACAACACAACTGCATCCCATGCAGCATTGTTGCTGCTGAGGGGCATGATGTATGCATTGCTGCTGTGGCTGATCGTGGCCAAATCCTCTGTACCATCATCCCACCTCGACTGCATACCCGAGCGTATGGTGTACTGGGGGCTGGCGATAGTCAGCTGCTCCACGTGCTGCTGCACAACATGGCACTGCTGCTGCTGCTGCTGCTCCCGCTGCTGCTGCAGCGGCTGCTGCTGCTGCTGCTGCTGGGGCGGTGGCGGCAGCGGCTGCTGCTGCTGCCACGGCTGCAGTGGCGGCTCGAGAAGCTCGTCCTCCTTGAGATGCAGCTGCGCCTTGGCATAATGGTGCGACGCCTCCAGGTTTTCCTCGACAGTGACATCAAGATCTGCTGCCAGATCTGCTGCCGGGTCTTCATGCCAGCGCTTGCGGGAGCGCCGCTGCAGCTGCCGCCACTTGCAGGTGACGCCACCCTGCTGGAACACCTTGTGGCCATGCCGCTCGAACAGCACGCCCCTCAGGCCAGCCAGGCTGGCCTCGTCCTGGGAGGCCACCAAGAACTGCTTCAGGCCATGTTGCAGCTCAGCTGCCAGCTGCTGCAGCACCAGGTCCGCAACGCGGGGGGACGCGAAGATCACGTAGCGCACTGAGAAGTCGGACCGGACCTGTGGCATCAGGGAGGGGGGCAGCAGCAGGAGAAAGTGGTGCGTGAGGTTTCATCACTGCAACTTCCCCTCACCCAAGTGTGGGATAAGCACATGCAAATTAGCTTGCAACGCGCGGAGTGCAGCAAGAACAAGCGCCACGAAATGCAGAAAGAAAGGCTATGCTCCCAAAAGCACAGCGCCCTCACCCCCGCCGTGAAATGGGGCTGCATTCGGCTTGCTAAAAGAGCAAGCTCATCAAGTCAAACACGAGGCTGTTCAAACACGCTGATCCAACGGGGTGCTGCGGCAAGAGGCATAGCAGAGCAGAAACTGACATTTACAATAAACTGACACCTACCCCAAATGCAAGCGCACCTGGAAGTGACCCAGTGTATGAGAAAAGTTGGATGCATAACTGACAGCTTGGTCGATGGTACGCACCAGCTGCTGTGCATCCTGCTTGCGCACAGCTTCAAGCATCCGGCGCTGGGGGTCCGTGTCGAGCTTCACCAGTACATGCCTGATGCTGCCTCCCAGCCACGAGTACCGCTCCGCCACGGTGTCAGCGGCCACGTCCCCATACAGCAGCTGCCTGCAGGCCTGCAGCTCGGCAAGGCTCCATGTCGGCATGTAGAGGGGTTCCCGGCAGTACCTAGTAGACAGGGTCAGCGACACAACAACATTCAGGTAAGTTGGTTGGGCACGGCACTCTGTAGAGCAAAATTGAAAGTACAGGAACTGGGACCAGCCAGTTGCATGCAGCAACAGGCCCTGCAATTGTGAATTCCAAGCAACTCAAGCCAGCCAGCTTTGAGTTGACGAAAAGACTTACTTGCCCTTGATAAAGGTGGCGACGTGAGAATGATTGGGTGATGACAGCAATACCGTCTTGGTGAGGCCCTCATATGCCAGATTGGCAGCAGGCGGGCCTTCCACAATCAGCCAGGCTGTGTGAGCGCGCAAGCCAACTGCAAAGCGGCAAAGGACCAGGCAGGAGAGCACGGCCAAGGGGCAGCAAGCATATGTTTTGACAAGGTACAAACTGCCGTCAATTGTTGTGAGGGAAAAGAGCAAGCCATTGACGAGAGTGATGCGCCACAACAACAGGCGCTGGACCGCTGTGACTGCTGCCAATGACAAGTACAGCGCTACAAAGCAATCTGCGGCCTCAGCAGAAATGACGTGTCATGCACACCTTCAACATAACAAATGCATTTCCACATGTGAAGTTGCCTGTGCTCACCATCACGCACTGACGTCATCGTAGACGTGGCCACAGCTTGGGGCCCGCTGAAGTCAAACTTGATGCGGCGCCAGGCCCTCGCCTCCTGGTACTCGTAGTAGACAATCTGCTGCCTGCTGCCGAGCTGCTTGATGAGGTAAAGGGCAAAGGCGCTTTTGCCAATGCCAGGTGTGCCTGTCACCACAAACCCCAGCGGGTGTTTCTTTTCCTTGCTGCAGCTGGTCCATAGCAGGTTGTACAGCCTGCGGTAGCAGGGCCGGATGTACAGGCTGTCGCGCAGCTCTGGCGGCACGCCCTCTGGCTGGCGTGGTGGCTGGCGCAGGCAGCCGTCGTCCTCCTGGCCATCCACAAGCTGCTGCGCCCAAATCCCCAGGTCGTTATCCACGTGCACTGCACGTTCAAGCGATGTGACGAGGCAAGTCCCGCCAATTCAGTATCCAAACCATCCACATGGATTGCAAGTGTTCAACTGCAACAAACAACAAGGAATCGTGCAGGGTGATGCCGCAGAGGCTTTGGTGCGGAAAGCACGAGGCAGTTGCTGGCGTGTTGCACGTGGTGATTCATGCAGTCCTCCTGACAAGCACTCCTCCTGACAAGCAGGACTGCTGCTTCTCTTCTGCGTGGGGTGCACCACAACCAACGACCGGGTGATGCAGAATCGCCACAAACCATTGCAAAACCATGCACCACTCACCTGATGCTGCTGTGGTAGTGTGAAGGAAGCCCCGGCATGAGCCATGGAAGGTACAGGGGGAGGGCGCAAACAAGAAGGTCGCACAAGACCGAAGTCACAAACCAAGGATGCAGCACCAATTTTTGATGAAGAGCTGCCTGCTGCTCGGGCGCCACCAAAGCATGCCCATGAAAGTCCTTTGGCAGGTTGCCGCAAGCAAGTCGTGGCAAAGCACCATGCTCGGGCTTGTTGCACAAAAAAACAGTGTGATAAACCCAATGTGCCAGCTGACTGGACACTGGTATGCTGGACGTGGAATGCACTGGTTTGAAGGCTCAGCAGTTACAGCTGGCATGTTGCACATGGTGGTGCATGCTGTTACTAATGACGACTGTCGCCGCTGCTACATGGATTCTCATGCACTCCACAAGCAGCAGCTGCCAATCCAGGGTCTGCAGAACTGCCACAAGAACCATCGCGAAACCCCGCAGCACCTCACCTGCTGCTGTGAATCATTTGCGCAGGCCCAGGCAAATCGGGAAGGGCAGATGCGATGAGAGTGAAGGGTGTGAGGACAGCAGGAGGTGATGGAGCAAAGCATATGTGCGGATAGAACAAGGTGGGACAGGCAGGGATGCAGTGCAACATCATAATCATTATCATCAACATCATCACTTATCACGAGTACTGTGAGCCGGCAGCGGTATGCAGGTAGTGTCAACATGGACAATCGGGATGTGTGGATGAGGAATTCAACAAAAAAAACACTCGTGGTTGCAACGGCATTGCCCACAACGCGGTATTGTCCGTGCTTACAAGGTGCACCTGGATCAACGATCGAAGCTAGCATTGATCATCGTCCCCATGCACCCCAACCAGCAACGTCTGGCCAATCCCATGAAGCCCGAGCCCCAGCCGATTAGCCGGAGGCCCCAGGCACTTATGTGGAGTCTACAAACACAAGAAGCTCACCTGAGTCTGCTGCTCCCGTGCGTGGATGTCAGCGAGGGCAGGGTTTGATAACGCACAGTGCCAATCGGCAGCACGAGCGCAGGAGGATACGAAGTCAGCAGGTGACAGCGCAGAGTATGTGCCAAGAACAATGGTTGAGGTGGAGCAAGGAAAGGAAGCCGCAGCATGCGAGCAGCATCAACACAGCGATTTTGATAACAAGTATGAGGCAACTTGTGGCCAGGTTGCGCACACCTGCTGCAAGCTGTGCACACAGCTGCAGGGTGCAAGGCACGGAACTGCTACTGTTCGTGCTCATCGCAGCCCTCGCCAAGCTTCCACACGCGGGTTTCTTTGAGTGAGCTTCTGGGCAATGTATTGCCCAGAAGCTCACTCAAAGAAAGACGGGCACCCCCAAAGCATCGTCGGCTGCATCCTCGGGGCGGCACATCCCAGGCAACCCACCGTCACCGATCAGTAGATTGATTGTGGCCCGCTTGAGGCTGTCTGACTGGAGCAGTAGCTCAGCAGCCATGTCTACTTCCATCTTGTTGATGACCAAGAAGATAGCGGCCTTGAACTCATCGCTGCGGTTCTCAAACAGGAGGATCATGGCCTGGTATAGCTTCTGCTTGGGGCCCGGCGCCGCCATGGTCGAGCCCCCCTGCATGAGCCTGCTCCTGTTGCGCGACAGGCAGGTGGCAGGTGTTGTCGCACAGGCTGAGGGCGGGGTTGCACCCCTGATGACATTTTGAATGCGGTAAACTCTGACTGGCTGCAGGCCGCAGCATGCGCTCAGGCGGTGCCCAGATGAATGCGTCGACCACCTGAGTGCGCCATACAAGTGGCGCACCAACCCGGCCTGCGCTCTCACCTAGCTGCGACTGGGCGACGGTCAGCCTCCTCCTGAGACAGGTTGCAGCGCAACACACGCGATATACGGACACCTTGGTCGAGAATGCCATCGGAACCAGCTTCGGGAGAACCCAGCGCTGTGTCTGTGCCCGTTGCTTGCTTCCAGGGCGCCAGTAGCACAGTGGCATCAACTCAAGGGCCTAAGCAGTGCGCAACCTGGCGAAGCCTGGAGGTGCAAGTGGCTGAAACCCAGCAATTGTCCCTCCAAGAGCTGCGGCCTGCTGATACAGACACGTTCAGGGCTCCTACCTGAGCTTGCTGGCATCTCCAGCCCGACTTTCGCGGAGAACCGGCAAAGCGGAACGCGCAGGCTACTGGAGCGCGGTCCAGGTGTGCGTACACCCAAAGCCACAATTTGGAACGGACCACGTTTGGAACACGGCCTTGGGAGCGCTCTGCACGGTATATGGGCGTGATCTGGATGATACATGTGATTTATAAAGCTTATGTTCAAGGCATGAGGCTAGACGGTCCAGCGGGTGGAGATGTCACCTCGCACCCGGAGCAGCTGCTGCTCGTGGGCAAAAAGCTCGCAGGATAGGCATTGGTTCGCGTGGCGCGCCGGTGATCGTCAAATTTAGATCTTTACAAGCAGCCGTGTGCAGCCTATCTGCCTGCTAGAGACCCAGAATTGCTCCCCAAAGCCATCAAAGCAATCTACCGCTTGCACGGTGGCTAGGGGCCATCGCGGCGCGCATGCAGAATCACAAACTTTGAGAAACATATCATGTACATGTACCAGGCCTTCTCAGCCTGTTACAGAGGGTGCAGGGCTCCCCGCAAGTTGCCACGTCGTTGGCACCTGGTGTGCTCGGAGGGTGCGGGAACAGGCTTTTTGCTTTCCTGCGCGCTTCAATGTGCACGCAAAATCACATCTTATAGCCTGGGATCAACGCGCAAGCCACTAGACGCCTGTAGAAGGCCTGTTCCAAACGTTGCCACTGCAGCAGCTGCACCATTGCTTGGAACGCTCTCTCCTCGCGCCCCCGGCCCCTTTGCCGACACACGATTGATATATAGGTACTAAACAACGTCCTCAAGCCGGCAGCAAGACCCCAGGCTGCCTGCATTGCTCTGGCCAGAAACCTGTTCCAAATAGTGGCTTTGGGTGTAGGCAATGTGCGCTTGAAACACATGTGTAGTTAACGACGGATTTCTGTACAGTTACAACCACACAACGGAAACTTATTGTGTTACGACATGGAATTGCTGGTGCTGGGCCGTGAGCAGCTGCTGTTGCGGCAATTGAGAAATAGCAGCTGCTGCATTTCCGTGGTGGGAGCTGCTTGAGTGGAAAAACAGCGGAATAGAGCATGCCATGATGCGTGGTTTGGACAAAGGGTATATCAGGCCAGGCACAAGCAAAGCCAGCCAGCCAGCAGGATGCATGCACCGGATGCATGGCGAGCGGCGGGTGGCGGGTGGCGGGTAGCGGGTGGCGGGTGGCAATGGCAGCTGCACTTAGCTTAAGCTCCTGTTTGTCCTCCAATTGCTGTGAGTCATCTCTCTGTGCCCTCTCGCTGTCCTGATGCTGTGTAGGGCCTTTTGCACTGCACACAGACCTGTGAAGAGTCAAGCTGCCCACCAATTTGGCCTGTTTGGACACACCACGGCAAGAAACACAGCCACATGAGGACTTTTTTCTTGTACAGGTGCACGGTGCGCGGCATGCCACACAAAGGGTGTACACATATGAAAATCAACAAGATCTGAAGCTTCCTCACAGACATCACTCACAGACACTAGAAGTGATCTGAGAACCAAATCAGTGCCAAGATAAACACCGGGTGGCAAGAGTTGCGTTGGGCTAGCGAAGTGGAGATGCAAAGCCGCCGCGAAGCAGGCTTTTGACTGTGATGACCGACTGGCGGCGTGTGGTGTTGTCCACGTCAACCCACTGCTGTGACGTGAGCCACTCACGAGCGTGCGCAAGCACCGTGCATATAAGGCGGAGATTGCTGTTGAGGGCGCAAAAGACACCTTCTCAAGGCTAGTCAGGCGCGAAGTCGTCACGAGCATGTGCGGTGCAGGTGCGGCCCCCTCAACATCACTCATCACTGAAATTTTGTGTCAACCCCGGGGCCTGCGCCGCGCACATCGCCCACGTACATGCCTGCATGCGTACATACCTGCAATGCCTGCGAGCGTCTGCCAGAGCGACAGTGCAATGCGTGCCTGCCTCATGGCTGCGTTCGTGCGCACGCACTTGTGTACGTATGTGTACATGTGTG